ACTTTAAGAAATTGTGTGATCTTATTGTATCTGATAAGTTGTATGAAACTCTTGATTCTAAAACAAAGGAACATATTAGTGTTCGGGAGGGTCAAAGTTGGTTCCCTCCTAATCAATTGGGAGGAAGAGAATGTGATTTATTTATTCATCCAGGGGTAAATCTTTAGTTGATACCAATAACACACGAATCGAAACTCCAGAAAAATAAAAGCTTAATTTTTCCAAAAACAATCTTAGAAAAGCTCAGAGCAATTTCAAGGATTCAGGGAAGTTTGTAAATCAGGGCAGTATAGTAAACCAGAACGTATTTGCTATGTTTGTGGGAGTAAAGGGGAATTATTTCATTTGCTAGAAATTGTCCCAAACGGTTAGGAAAGGAGAAAGTTTGTCTCCAAAAAAGGTATCTGGGTTAGAGATTGACTCGGATAATGCAGCTAGAAATAAGTTAGAATTTATTGAACTGTTGATTGATGGTAAAAAAGTAAAATGTTTAATAGATTCTGGAAGTGAATTGATAGTTGTAAAGAAATCCCTTTTTCCGAATAAATTATCAACTGGATGTATAGAACTCAAAAGTTCGTTTGGTCACGTGGTTAAAGCGGAAACGGCTAAGTTTATTTTTTCTTTATGCGAAAGCAAAAAACAAAAAGAGATTGAAGCAGCGATAGTTGATGAATTGATAACAGACTGTATTTCCCCCCTTCCTGTCTAAAAATGATCTGTTGCGACCAGGTGATGATTACGCAATATGAAAATGATTCCGTCTCTTCGGAAAGGAATTTTTTGTCTTTTATTTCTGCAGCCATTGAGGCAGACAGCGAAACAGATTTATGGCATATTAAAGATGAAGGATTACGCAATACTGTTTCCACTCTTATTAATGATTATAAACCGTTAGAAAAGCCGCGCAGTACAGACTTAAAAATGAAAGTAATATTAAAAGATGAATTCCAGTTTCTCAGCGTTCGAGAATTCCTTTTGCTGATCAAAAAAATTGTTGATAATCAAATAGATAATGGTTTGGTTAAAGGATGGGATTATAAAGCCGTCGTGTTCAGAATATGCTTCGCCAATTGTTTTGTAGGGAAAAAATCGGGCAAGACACGGATTTGTGTTGACTTTAGGCAGTTAAATAAAAAAATAGTTAAGGATTCTTTTCCTATGGCACAAGTAGAAGAAGTTTTAGATCGTTTGGGTGAAGCAAAGGGTTTTTCGACATTAGACTTAAAAAATGGTTTTTTTCATGTTCCGTGGAGGAAAACTGCACTAAATATTTGGCATTTATTACTCATGCAGGCTTTGTACGAATTTCTAAAAGCACCTTTTGGTTTGTGCACGTCCCCTAAGTGTGTTTTCAAAGATTTATTTATAATGTGTTTAGAGATTTAATTCGGGATGACACTGATGTTACTTACATGGACGATTTTATTATTCCAGCACGAAACGAGAAAGAAGGTTTAGAAAAGTTGAAACGCATGCGTTTTAGAAGTAGACCAAAGAATATGGTTTGGAGATTAATTTTAAGAAATGCCAATTTTTGAAAAGAAAAATAGAATTTCTCGGGTATGTTATTGAGGATGGTACAATTCGCCCCTCTACTGAAAAAAAAAAAAAAAAAAAAAAAACCAGGGCTGTTCAAAATTTCCCGGAACCCAAAAACCTTAAGCAGATTCAGAAGTTTCTTGGGCCTTACTGGGTATTTTAGGAAATTTATTGCCAATTATTCAAAAATAGCGAAACCATTAAGTGATCTTCTTCGTAACGGAGCAGAATTCAAATTTGGGCCTGGCCTGAACAAAAAGATGCATTTAATAAATTGAAAGAACTTTTATCCACAAGTCCGGTTCTTCATATTTTTAAACAAGGAGCACCATTAGAATTGCATACAGACGCAAGCAGTCATGGTTTCGGCGCTGTATTGCTACAAAAGTCAGATGATGGACAGTTACACACACCATTTACTTCATGAGTAAAAAAAACTAGTCTCCAACAAGAGAAGCTATCTAGTTATGAGCTTGAAGTTTTAGCTATAGTAGAAGCTCTAAAGAAATTCAGGAATTACCTTTTAGGATCTAAGGTCAGGAATAGTTACGGATTGCGATGCTTTCCAGAAGACCATGTTTAAGAAAGATCTAACTCCTAAAGTGGCGAGATGGGCGTTACTTCTAGAAGAATTTGACTACGAAATTGTTCACAGATCTAGGCAACAAATGAAGCATGTGGATTCCTTAAGTAGAAACGCGTCATGATGGTTACTTGTTCTCAGGGAGAAATTACAGCCAAAATTGCAGCTGCGCAAATAAGTGATGAGCGTCTCCAGTTGCTAAAATCCTTAGTCGAGCAAGGACTAAAGAAAGATTTTCTAGTGAAAAATGGAATATTATACAAGTTTGACAGAGCTCATGAGATTACTTGTGGTACCCGAAGCATTAGAGCTAGAAATCATACGTAGTTATCCATACAACAAGGGACATTTCGCAGTGTCTAAAACAGAAGATCTGCTAAAAAACGACTTTTATATTCCTAACCTTAGAAAACGAATTGAGCAAGTTATTTCAAATTGTGTAGAATGTATTTTGTGCGACAGAAAACGAGGTAAGAGGCGAAGGATTGCTCAATCCCATACCAAAAAGATAGTATCCCTTTGAGAACTTTTCATATCGATTTTATAGGACCATTACCTTCGACAAATAAGAACTACAATCACATATTAACCGTGGTTGATGCATTCACAAAGTTCATATGGCTCTATCAGTAAAGTCTACATCAGCTCAAGAGGCATTGCAGAAGCTGAAACTGCAACAATTAACTTTCGGTAATCCTTTGAGAATTATAAGTGACAAAGGTACGGCGTTTACCTCTAAAGACTTTGAAGATTACTGCAGTCAAGAAAGATCCAGCACATATTTTACAACTACAGGCGTTCCTAGAGGAAATGGACAAGTGGAAAGAATTCATCTCACTCTGATTCCAGTCCTATCTAAATTATCCATAGATGATCCAACCAAGTGGTACAAATATGTTGGCGATGTACAAAGGATCTTAAACAGCATTAAGAGCAGAAGCACAAAGAGTTCTCCATTTGAGCTTCTCACTGGTGTTAAAATGAGAAATCGAGAGGACTTAAAGATTATGGAAATTCTTGAAGAAGAAGAAAGAAATACTATGATGAATGATCGAGAAGATATGAGAGAAGAAGCAAGAAAAAACATTCTAAAATTTCAGGAAGAGAATAGAAAAAACATACAACAAAAAGAGGAAAGAGGCACAAGTATACAATGTGAACGACTTAGTTGCCATACAAAGAACGCAATATGAGAGTGGTCTAAAGTTAAGGCCAAAGTTCTTCGGTCCATATCGTGTAACAGCGAGGAAAGGCAAAGATCATTACCAGGTGGAAAAAGTGGGACACCATGAAGGTCCTGGATGTACCACTACAGCAGCTGATCTCATGAAGCCGTGGACTTCTACTATATAAAACCATGTGTGGTTCTTCCGCACTTTTCTTTTTGTTTTTTTTTTCCTTTTCTTTTGTTTTTTTTTTAAATTTATTTTCAGGTGCTGTCTTGATGTTCCAGTGTTGCTGATCCGTGTTTTCGAGGACAAAAAAGCGTCAGGAAGGCCGAACTGTAGTATCCGTAAGTGCGACACAACCACCAGAGGGCCTCACCGATGCGCCAGCAGCGAGGTGAAAGATGAGTATGACATAGACAGAGAGACTCTTGTGCTATCCCACGCGAAGGTGGTGAGCTGCACGTGAAGGTGTAGAATAAGGAACTGTAGTTTTCCACGCGAAGGTGGTAAATTGGACTGTACTGTTTAATACATCAGCAAATGCGAGTAGGCACTAATCGGTTATGTGATAAGACTGGTAAAAGCTATACATAATCCTCTTTGTATCAAACGGCACTTGTATTTAATCTAATTTGTACCTTTTCTGATTATCTTTATTAAATGTTCTGTGGTGTGGAAAACAAAGTTGGAACTGTTATTTAGCATCTTCAACTTCCCTACTACATATATTTAAGGCTTATCAAGGGCCAGCGCTAGATAACTTACCACCTGATAGGTCTCTTCGGTCCTAAATTCTGCTATTAAGTGCCTATCTAAGTTCTAAATTTTTGCCGCCCCTAAATTTTAGATCCCAATGCTTTCTCTAAATTCCAAAAGTTCTGTCTGCCCTAAATTCTGCTGCCTGGTGTGACCATGCGAGCTCTGGTGCTGGTTTTGGGCTCATGTGAATAACAAATCAGTTATTCTTAATTCAAGTAGCACTCAATGTAATCTTTTGGCCTATGAGTGTCATTAACAAAATATGTTTTTTAGCATAAGGAAATAAATTTTTAAAAATTTTTCCTTGTTAACATTTCTTAGCTCATTTAACTTAAATCTATAATCATCGCCAAACATAAAGCCAGCATAAAAGGTTGCCATATTTTTGTTATGAGCCATTACTCAAGTTGTCATGTGTTGATAAACATACGTGATGAAACCAAAATATAATAAATAATGATTCATCATGTTGGTGGCAGAGATATAAAATATTAGTAGGTGTAACATCAACAATGTTCCTAGGTAGAATGTTTCGATTTGAGATGTGTGCCAAGCAGATACGCAGCTATGGAGCCAAATTATTGATCACACAGATTTATGCCAAAATGATTGTTTCTTCAATAACAAGATATTTTATTCAGTTTTATTCAGTACCAAAAACACATTAAGAATAGAGACTCTTCGCATGTTTTATTATTGGGCCAGGGGGTAAAAATATTTAAAGTGCATGCATAAAGCATACAAAAAAAACTGCCTAAAAAAATAGGTCATTTGTTTCTTTGATATTAGAATTTTAGAACATTCTGCATATTTGATGTTTAGATCTTGGACTTTGTACTGTATTTATTATTAAATCGTAAAAAAAAAAAAAAAAAAAAAAAAAAAAAAAAAATTAAATATTACATTATAAAACAAGGCTAATATTTTATTTTCTTTCATTTCCATAGGATGTCTGGAGCTAGACTTATTGTTCATTTAGTCCATGCTTTATCTAGTAAACAGTATGGAATGGCAGCCATTTGTAATGGAGGAGGAGGAGCATCTGCAATACTTATACAGAAAATCTAGTTTTTAAATCTGTGCTTTTTGGTGGTGTTGTTATTCTGTTCTATTATCTGCAGCATGTATGAGCAGTTATGAACATTATATATTTTGGAAGACGTGTTATTTTTGTATGATGTGAAAGCCATTGCAATATATTTATATATTTTAATGGTATAATAAATATATATTTTTTCTATAAATTGCAGTCAATTTTTAAAAAAGGTAGGTTTATAGTGCATTTCGTCTCAAAATAGGTATGAACATCTGTAGTTTAAAAAAATGAATGAAGTAAAACAGGCATAGTAGTAAAATGCTATCCATAACCAAATCTGTTAAAAAATATACGATAAGTGCAAATATTGTTAAAGATGTTCAACATATAATAGAAATCATATGATGTTCAACATAAAATATGTATTTTAGAAATTCACATTCAAAACGTGAATTTCTAAAAAATATATTTTACATAAAAAAGTGTTAATTGAGAAACATTGTTTTCAAATTAGCATTTGTAGAAATGCTAAATTTTGATACTTTAATGAAAATCATTCTTTATATGACATTTAAAATCGATGGTTCTTATAGTTTTATTTATAAGGCACGCTTATCTGATTAAAGAATTTTTAAAAATGTGTCAATTATGTGATCAAATTCATCATGCTTCAATTGCCTACTTTGTTTGATTCAATTCTTAAATTAGAATCATGCATCTATGACTTAGTGTGAAAATTGGTGCAGCTGTGTCAGATGGCAAAATTTTTTAGAATTTATTGTGGCAGAATTTAGGATCTGCAGAGATTGCACTGAGCATGGTAAAATGCCCAGCACTGGGCCTGCTTAACATTCAAGAGATATTTGTTATGCTTTTCTAAATGCATTGTAATAATTAACGAGGATTTTGACTTTTTTAATTAATGCTGTGATTTATTAAAATAAATCGATAATTCTTATTGATCTTCCTTTCTATTTGGAAAAGTATATTCCTATGCTAACAAATTTTTAAATTTTATATGATATACTGAGCACTTTTTTTTTTAATACCAGAGGTGTTATTAGTCTCGAGACTCACTTTTGTGTCCAAATCACTTTTTATATTGTTGCCACCACATGTTATCAAGATGCATTACATTTAAAACAAAAAAAAGTATATGTAATCCTCCACCCAAACATGGGCACCCCAAAGACTAAATATGGAATTTCAAATTTGTTTTTGATTTATTTCATATTTTGTACAAATTTAACAATTTTTTAACAAACTCAGCAATTTGAAAGTGAGAAGTGGCAACATTGTTCAAAATAAAATGTTTTTATCTCTAACTTGCCATTTGGCAAAATTTAAGATACTTGTCTCTGTTTCACGGGGAAATGGTGTATACACCTGGGCCGTAGGCCCTACCTTTATCGAACAAAATTTAAAAATTGCTAATTATATGAGCTTTAACACAAAGAAAATTTCTAAATTTAAATTTTAAAAAAAATGAGCTATATGAAGAGATTTAAGTAATAAGTTACATAATAAATTTTGTCACAATTAACTTTAAGGCAAGTCGTTAAATTATAATAAAAAGGTAATAAAGTTAAGAAAGGTATTAACATTAAAATATGAAAGGGATGAAGACATATGTAAAAGGATATGAAAGGACATATGGTAAGTGATGAGGATACAAGTTAATATGAGATAAGAATTTAAATAGTGTTGCGAGAGAGTCGGCTAATGGGGGAAGCATGTGGTGCAAGCTTTTCAAGCCGGTGACAAATATCCTGAAAGGGAGACATACAGCAATTGCAAGAATAAACAAGAAGTAGGTGTAACTCCTTCGGTGAAAATTTTAAAAGGGGAAAAGAATAAAAAGGCAGGTAAATAATGGATAAGTTTGAGCAATTTGAAATATTAAATTGACACTGGTTCTGTCAAACAAAATACAAAATGTGTGCATATATGAGAAGAGATACATACATAATACAGTAAGCATAGCTACAATATGCAGTCAAAAGTCTTTAATCTGGACCTAAATAATCTGGAATGATCTATAATCCGGACCTAAAAGCTACAAACTTTCTGCGCATGCGCGTTTAATGTATAACGGACGGTATAAGCTAAGCTAAAATTATCTAATTATCTATTTCAGTTAATGTTGCAGATTGCGTTGTTCCTTAATCTTCTAATTGGATCCGGCTTATTATTTTTTTCAGACTGTTAGAGCAATTTTATAAAAAGTAAGCTTGAACTTTCGATTATGTCAAAAAGAATTTCCGATTCTGGAGCTGCCAAAGGATCTACAAAACGAAAGCATATGCCGAAATCTGTTTATCAATTTCACGCTGCTCTGCCGGGAAGGGGGGGGACATCGCGGCATGCAATGAACTGAAAGTTGATGTGTCAGCACTATTTTCATCTTCAGGGCAGATGTTTTTATTTATATTCGGCTTATAATTGCTTACTAAATGTAGTATTTCATCTCGATGTACTCCGTCTTTGATATGATTTAAATCAAATTCCTCGTCATTATAATTCACTTCCGATAGTGAAGAAAGTGACACAGAGGTTATTGAAAACGAAAAATTTCGATTGACAAATTAGTCGGTATTCTCGACAAACCAGCAATTATAGGACTTGAACAGCGGAACCTTGTAACTGAACAAGAAATTACGTCTGCTTATAGAATTAAAGAGAATGTATTATCACATAAAACGAGGTCACATAAACCATAAAACCACATACTAACCCTAAAAGAAGTAAACCTCTAAAAAGTAAAGAAAAAAAATAGAATAAAAAAAAGAATTGGATATAAATCGGACACAGGAATGTTTTCATTAGCACGCAGGGATTTAAAGAGCTCACCTCTGTTTACGCTTTTCCTTCCCCCCTCACAAGAGCTGATGAGTAAAATACCAAAGTCAAGCAGAATATATCAAACTCAAGGTCAGGAACCTAAAACTGTGTTCATTTCAAAAGTAATGGACACAGGATGCCATCTAGTGGCCTTCAGAAAAACGTTCCACCTTAAAATGCATATACGCATCACCCGTCCTCTGAACGTGATCTTTACCGATGCGTGGATGGGTCGCCCGGCTCTAAGAGACGTTCTTAGGGAATGCTTATATGGGACGCCCATCCCAAAAGGGTTAAATCTTAAATAATTATGAAATAATGATTAATTAAAATTATAATGTTCTAGGCAATAAAATGCATTACGAAAGATAATACTGGCTGTAAATTTGATTATAAAAGTTACCTAGACTATATATGAATATAAATTTATAAAAAAAAATTTGTATGATAAATTTGTTCTTTATTAAAAGCATTTTTATAGTTCATGCATGCATTATTAAGTACGAAAATAAATTCGTCTTAAGTGAACAGGACCTGTATATTAGTGGTAGTCATGAAAGTACATAAGTACAAGAAAAAGTTAGATGAAAGAACAGTATTTACATATTAACACAACCAACTTGACAATTTTTTACAGATGAAAAGGAAAAAGTTACTTATCAGGTGCAAGTTGGTGGTTTTCGCTAATATTTTGAGAAAGATTCCCAAACTACTTACTTATTGTAAGTCGGCAGACATTATCAACATATGGAAAGAAAACTAACGTTAGCAATTAAAAATGCAAATACTAATTATTAATTGAAGATTGCATGATATATTAAAAAAATAAAACGTTCTTCTTCTCCAAAATCTTTCTGTTTCTTGCGCTACTCCTCTTCCCAAGGACAAAGCCATCTATTTTCACTTAGAAAAAAAATCAGAATTGCAGAAACCCAGCAATACCAAGCCAAACATATCTCCTTGTTGTTGCTTTTAGACATTTTATGGCAAAATTCTCTATTCCTCCAAAAATTTTACTACAGTTTCTTCCACAGCTGGCAAATTCACAAATGTATATTTTAGAATTCAATTGAGGGCAAAAAAATATCACAATTTGTTTATAAAAAACCATTGGAATACAAGAAAAAGAACTCTTACGAAAATGCTGACATTGCTTGACTGAAGGAATATAATGTGCATGATTGCCAGAGTTTGGCACATTTAAAAATCTAGTGATGGCTGATCTTTAGAATATGGTAACTGGTAGCGACATTTTGGAGGCGATAAAGGTTACTACCTGCGACTTTGGTAATAATGTGAGTAGTACTCAGTTCCGATTACGCATTATTTTGTGTGAGGGAAATGAGAGATCATGGGATATGTCATGTGATATTAATGGACGAATTACGGTTCTTTAATCGGAAAAGGGGGGAAATCGGGAAAAAATCTGGAAATTTTGTATTTGGCTTTATTCTGTGTTGTGTGAAACAGTGTTCGTTAATTTTTGGATCCCATGGCCCTAACTAAAGTGAATTCGAAATGGGTATTTAGTGCGATTGAAAGGGGTAGTAATAAGTGTTTCTTTAAGGTTGTGCGAGATAGAAGTAAAGATGTTTTATTAAGTTATTTATTTTACCTGGTACCTTTGGTACCTTGCTGTGAACTATAAGTATGATTTTAAAGATCCTGAAACAGAAATAAGAAAAGTTTATTGGACACATAATCAAGATTCTGAAGAAGAATAGGTAAGTTAGTATTTTTAATTATTTGAGGATATTATTTTTATGCATTGTTCTAAATGTAAGGTGGAAGTAAAGTAATTTGCGTAAACGTGCATGGAAATAATTTAAATATTTGACACTAAGTATTTGTAACCATTTGTAATGTTGCGGTCTGAATTAGTTAGGTGACGTTTGTATAATATAATAGATAATTAGAGGTAAAAGTTTTTGGATATTTTTATTTATTTTATATGGGGAAATGTTCATATTTGGAAAGGGTATATACTTTTTCGCGATCAGGTAATTTCATATGTACTTTTTACCGGGTTTAAAGATTCAGAAAATTGTTATGCATTTTCGTGAAATTTTTCTAATTTATGAGAAAAAAGCAGTGTACGTGGATATAGTGAAGAGTGTGCGCAATGCCATTTTTGTTTAATTCTGGGATGTTTTTTTAAGAAAAAATAAGTCGACGTGTACATGGTTTAGTGATATTTTAATTAAATGATAGTTATTTTGTGAATTTTATGTTTGTAGGAATTTGGTATACGTTTATTGAAAATTAAAGTTGAATACGTTTATTGAAAATTGAATTGAAAATTGAAATAAATTGAAGTAGACGTGCATGGAAATAATTTAAATATTTGACACTAAGTATTTGTAATGCTTGCGGTATGAATTCGTTGGTGACGTGTATAATATAATAGATGATTTAGAGGTAAAAGTTTTTGGATATTTTATTTATTTTATATGTGGAAATGTTCATATTTGGAAAGGGTATATACTTTTTCGCGATCAGGTAATTTCATATATGTTCTTTTTACCGGGTTTAAAGATTCAGAAAATTGTCATGTATTTTCGTGAAATTTTTCTAATTTATGAGAAAAAAGCAGTGTACATGGATATAGTGAAGAGTGTGCGCAATGCCATTTTTGTGTAATTCTGGGATTTTTTTTAAGTAAAATAAGTCGGCGTGTACATGGTTTATGTGTATGTGTTATTTTGAAAAACCCGTAAGGAAACGGGTATTGTGCACTTTTTCCCAATTTTGCAGTGAATATTTGTTATGATTAAGCACTTTTGTTAGATAAAATTTCTAGCATAAGTGTAATTCGGCTAGTAGATTGTTGGAAGAAGTGTTCAGTAGATAAAAAGAAAAGAAACATGTCTTTACTTCGTGAAGACAAAATGGCGGCGGGAAAAAAAAAATAGAGGGTTGCCGTAGGAGAGTTGGTCGCCAAATTTTCGCCAAAAAAATGCCAAGTTACCATAATGTAAAGATCGACCCTAGTTATTTCTATTAATATGGTTACGATAACATGCAAATACCAAAAAAAAATTCTAGTTTTATAGCAACAGTTTGAATATTTCATGTTGGAAGTATTTGTAGAAAAATAGGAAAATACATACACTAATTCATTCTGACAATGTAAAAATATTGTTGCGTGCGTACAGGTTCGTAATAGATTGAATCCAAGTCTGATAAAAGGTTAATAAAATTTATTCTTATCACAAGAAATATAAGAAAACATTGAAATTTTCCTCAGAGATATTCGTGCAAGTGTTCACAATATCAGCCAATAATAATCAGTAGAGCGCAAATACGTTAAACAGAACGAAATTCACAGCGCATTTAAAGAGAAAGCTAATCCAATCTCAATGTGTTATATTTTCAAATTTTTACAGAAAATTAAAATATAATGCTGATTTTTGTTGTTTTACTTCAAAATTAATACTTGTTCCGCATGTTATTATACCTTAATTTATTTCAATGTAAGTTGTTTAAATTGCTTTCTTTTTTGTGCTAATACTTTCATTTTAATTTTATAGACATATAATTTCTTGTTCAGTTAGTTCCATTGTTCAAGTCGTGTAACTGCTGCGTCGAGAATTCCGACTAACTTGTCAATCCAAATTTTTTTTTTTTTTTTTTCAATAACCTCTCTGGCACTATCTTCACCCTCGGTAGCGGTATTTTCTGGATCTAGAACCATACTACAGATTTCACTGTCTGTTAATTGATTGGTGATTGGGGCATTATCATTGCGAATAAAAAACTTCTGTTACCTCCTCTTCTACCCTAAATTCTGCCACCATGTGAGTTGTGGCGCCGGTTCTGGCTTTATCAGTTATTCTTAATTCAAATAGCACTACATATTTAATATTTTTGCTTGCGAGTATCATTAACAAAATGTATTTTTAGCATATGGAACGAAATTTTTGTTAAATCTTTCCTCGTATACATTTTAACGCATCTAACTTAAATCTGTAATCGGATAATACTCTTTGTTATTCAGTCACTAATATAAAAAACTTGTTTAGGCATTGCTGCATGAGTCATCACTCAAGTTGTCATGCATTGATAAACATACGGTGATGAAAGCAAAATGTAATAATGATTCGTTAGATTAATATTAGTAGGGATAAAATCAAAGATGTTTCTATGTGGAAGGTTTGAGATGTATGCCAAGCAGCTACGGAGTCAAATTATTGATCGCACACGCAGCTACGAAGCTACCATATAAGCAGCTATGGAGTCAAATTATTATCACACAATTTTATGCTAAAATGATTATTTCCTCAATAATGAAGTATTTTATTTAGTGCCGAGGTGAGATTAAGAATCGGGACTTTTCGCATGTTTTTATTATGAGGGAAAAAATATCAAATGTGCATGTGTACAGCCTACCTCCCTCCAAAAACAATCCTAAAAAAAATTCGTTGGAGGTTGCTATGAGTTCTGTATTTTAGATCATTCTAGATCTTGGACTTTGTAATGTATATTGGAAGAAAGGGAGGCTTTGTTTAAATTAGAGGGTCATTTTTTAATTTTAATCAAGAAAATACCATTTTATCATAAGAAATGTTTTTAGCATTAGAGTTTCGGGCCACTCAGGTTTAAAATCACACTGGTTAAAAAAAGTACGAAATTTTAGTAAAATAAAAACCGTAAAAAATCTTAAAATAATATATCATACTTTAAATTATATACTGATATGCAATATTTGCATTAAATGATGTAAATTCTATTTCAATTATATCTGGTAGTGCAGCTATTAAAAACCAATTAACTCATTCTAATTTCTTAACATTAATTACTTGCTTTTGAAAAACAAACAAACATTTTATATCTATATATTTTTTAACTGACATTTTGATCTTTCACTTCCCTCTACACATCATATGAGTACTGTCTTATGCATGCAAATTTATCAAATAATAATGAATTAAGCAATGGAATTATTATATGGTTGTATTAAAAAACAGAAAATCTGCAACATAAAATTTGTTTCAGGTAGGGTATTTAAAAAACAAAACACCTGAAATACATTGAAAAAGAACATATTAAATACTGAAATGAGTAATGAGATATTAATAATATGTATAAAAATAATTTACCGCTCATTTATAATATCTTAAAAAGACTTTATATTGCGGTTAGAGTAGAGAGAGGGGTGCCCCTTGTATTATTGCGAAGTTGTTTCATTTATGGTAGCCTGAGTAGTTGAATGTTATGGAAACCCTATTATGACATAATCAGTTGCATGACTGGTAAATTTGTAAAGTCACAATTACATTGTTTCGGCTACGCGGGACTTGACATCGAAAGGGAAAATTCTTAGAACCCGCAAAATTCCAGGAAACCCACCTAGCTAGGTTACCATTTTCATTAACTACAAAGACTTGAATGCCAAACACTAATCGATTATTGCTCAGATTGGGATCACGTGAGGCTTCAGAAGCAGAACTTTCATCTGATTGGTTGTCTCTAACCTTGACTGATTTTTTAACCGTGACACTCCTTTGATTTTTTAAGTGAACATAGGTCGATGTGTACATAGATAAACTCAAGGGAGTGTGCAATGCCAAGTTTGTGCAATTCTGGGATTTTTTTTAAGTGAAAATAGGTCGATGTGTACATGGATACCAAGTTTATGCAATTCTGTCTTGTTACTTTGGCTTTGTGTAGCAATATTCCGGTTAAGATGGATAAATGCTCTCTTTCTTATATAAGATCAGTGTCTGCTTAGATAATGGTGTATCTTGCAAGTTAATAATAAGAATTTCAGACTTGCATATAGATTTTTTTTTTTTTTTTTTTTTTTAAGAATGACACTATCTTTTCAGAGAAACTTGTTTAGTGAATTTCTTAACATTGAAGGCATTGAGCAAATAAATTAAGTTATACCTTAATTACTTATCTAGAACTTTCGAGATACTTTGCAATCTTTCAAAGATATCACAGTGATATCTTTGTGCTGCTACGTGTTGAATTTCTCTTCCTACAGATCTGAATTGCTTGATGTAATTCACCAAATAATTAACTAAGAATATGAAATCATGCAGCAAGTTCATGTGAGTTAATGAGAAAACATTTCATATAAGCAACAAAAGTCTCATGTTTTTGATATTTTTTTTTTTTTTTTTTTTTAAATTTCATTATCACATATTCAGTAGTTTTGTTTATTTCATTTGTAACTACATCCAAGTCTTCAGTTTGTTATAATATTAGATATTACCTCAAACATATTCATTAACTTTTAATCAACTACTTTTGAGAAATCAGTGTTTTTGAGCATATGAAGATAATTTTAGATGCCAATATATATTTAAATTATTTAATGATGTTTTAAGTTAATTTGAATATATATAAGATTCTTTAATTTTGAATCTCGCTCTTTTTGGCTCCCAATATTTCATGTTTTTAAAATTACAGCATTAATTTATAGCTAGTAAATTTATTGAAGTTCAATAAAAATGAAATACAACTTTTAATTTTTTTAAAAAAATTTAAAACTGTTTTATACTTATAAATTAAAAATAGTATATTTAAATGATCAGTATGTATTTAAAAACATTTAATTAAATGTTCTAAAATGAATATCTAATATTGACATACATAGATAATATTATACAGGTGTTTATTTTGTGTAAATACAGATCATTTTTCTTGACAGTGGGGCATAACGTGTCCATCTTTTAATAATCATGATCATTATGGAACTTTTAAAAAATACAAAATTAAAGTAATTTATTTATTTAAGAGTTTCTTAAAGCTTCTAAAAATTTAAGAAACTCTTATATTTTTAAAAGTAATTAAAAATATTTTGTCTCATTTCATAAAGGATTAAAAAAATATTTTATTACACACTCAAAACATTTATATTTTCTTATTTTTAATAGTGTTTCTTACCAATTTAAAAAATTCAGATAAATGGTATTGATTATGTATCATTAAAAGAATCTGGGCTAAAAGTTCTGAAGTAACCAGAAGATGATGTATATATGCACGAGTGTAATGCAAACATGTGTAACACTCACAACTTTTTAAAATAGGGAAAAAATCACTTTTATAGCTATCTTCTTTCAAGCAAATTTTTGAAGAACATTTTGGTCTTTTTGAGATAAAATAGTTTGTCTCTTCTTTGTAATATTCATCAATTATTGTCAAAGGATATACTGATGCTTCTCCTGCTTCAGTTAATACAAAAGAATACGATGAATCAAATATGTCAATTCCACACTTAACAGCTTCTAGCATAGCTTCAGGTCCAAATGTACCATGTAATATTCTGGGTTTATCCTTTGGCAGTATGCTCACAATTTCTTGAAGGATAGGTTTTATTTTGGAAAAGTCAATATTTTGAACATCTGGCCCATTTATATGAAAACCATCTATAACAAACCCATCAACTGATCTTAATGATGTTTCTCGAGCCGATTTTTTCCGAAAAAACATATCATAACCTCCTTGAATAGTACCAAAAATAGCAGTATTTTTTAATTCTTCACAATTAGCATGCTCTTTTAAACATTCATCTAAAAATATTAAAGAATGATCGACAGATTTATTCAAACGTTTCTTTGAGCAGTTTTCAGGAGTGTCACTGTCACACAAAGCTTGGTAGGACGCTGGTCGAAATTCTTTAACGATCTTCATGTATTCTACAACTGATAACATTTTTTTCCCACCATGGCACCAAACAGAAACACCATTTCTAACATTGTAACCGTGTGGAGTTATAGTTCCTGGATCTTGAACTGATAGATGAAATGGATACTCAGGAAGTCCTATAAATGCACTTAGACCCTTACCTTGAGTTCCAACTGCATCTTTAAATTCTACAGTTGTGGGTAAAGTTTGCAATACAAACATATTCTGGATTTCCAATCTTTTCAAAGTGTTAAATGTCAAATGTGGTACAGTACCTGCTCGTGTGAACGCATAAAGCATGGGAGTCTTGAAAGTTTCCGAGCTCCATGGCTTTGGAAATTCTGATAACACTCCGATTCGCCCGATATTATTATTTACACTTTCAACAAATTTCATGTTTCAATTTTAGCACGACTTTTTACTACTACAGTTACAGTTTATTTTCTTAATTAATTAGCAAGCTGAAAAATTACAAGAATTACAACAGATACAAAGAAAGGAATTAAGAATCGTTACGAAAAAAAGATTAACAGATAGCGACACAACGCTGTCATTGGATGGAGATATGCTTTATCTGATTGAAGAGTTAGCTAAGCAGGTTTGCCGCCATTTCGTATAACGGTGTTAAAATCCGCATTGACTAATCGCACGGACGGTGCGGCTATTCACACCAAAGCTGTATGTAAGTCAAGCAGCTTTGATTCACACCACCTACGTTCGCGCATGCGCTCAATCAGCTCAGGTACCAGCATTTTAACAGGACTTAGAAAGAAGGTCGCCGCTTTTTCGGATGGCCTAGAGTCTCCTTTTCCCATCGATAGAAAGACTTGTGTCAACGGGGAAGTGTCTACCCGTACGACGTCGGACGGCTAGCTCAAACATGGTAAAAATGCTAAATGTACGACTGGTTGCGCAGAGACCATCTGCGCATGAACATGCCTCCAATGCAAAGAATCGCTAAGGAGATCTTCAGATTCTTACAGATTCTTTGTCCAATGTGCCATGCGAATCGAGCGCCATTTTGTTCTCGAACGTGGTGGGATGTTGTAGTGGTGAGTATACAAGTGATATCTATTGTTCCAAATTTTAAGTTGAAATTCAAATAAATTAAAATTCTAATGCTTTTTCCACTTAAATGAATAGTCTTTTTAATTTAATTGTCTTTTTGATTAATTTTAATCATTATTTTTTTCTTGCACAGACCGCAATTATAGGCATAATTCGTTTTCTGCTGAATGTATAGGTAAGAATTATTTTTGATTTTGTAAATATTTAATTAACTTTGAATACAAAATTATTTATGAATTGTATATAGTTTATTGGTTTGTGTGTGCAGTTAAAAGGAAGAAAAAAAATTCGTGTCGTTTATGTACTTATTCACCCATTTTTCTTTAAATACTGCGAAATGTAATATATTCTTGTATTTCTGTGTTCTTTTGAACAAATATACTCATTTTTTCATGTTCTCTTTGATATCGTATTAATAGTAATGTTAAATATCTGGCTGAGCAAATATTTTGGTTATCTGCGCTCAACTTTCCAGACGTTATTGGAAATCAGCTTTAATAATGCATCTAGTTGAACATGCTTAGCCAGAAACATTAACATATTAACTTCAGCCGAGCTAGAGCGTGTAATATTAATACCAAAAGCCTAACATTCTATGTACACTTATTGTAAGCAATTCTAGTATTATTCTGTTATTTGTAGCGAAATTAAAAATTGCAGCAAGAAGCAGTAGCTTTTGCTGTGATGGTTGTTTTGTTATTAAGCCCAGTTAATGTTCTCTTGCCTGTATGCAGCGTGGTGTGGGTGTGATGTGGCTATTCTCATTCTTGATTGTAAGGTAAAATTAAAATTTATAATCCATTATTTGCTTAAATGAATAGGTTTTCAATTGTAATTATTTATGTTAATTCATTTTTTTAAAGCAAACTGGTAAATGCGATCTTTTTTCCCTGAATTTCTGCATGTATAGGTTAGTAAAAACTATATTTGTAATTATTTAATTTCGGTACAAAATGTGTATTAAATGTATATAATTTGTGTGTATTATTAAATTTCAGAATGTAGTTGCAGATTAAATAATTACATGGTTCTGCTCGATTCAGGGTAAGAAATGAATATGGTGTACTTCAAAGGTATTCTTTCAATGCTGTGCGCATAACTCTGTTTTCTTATTCAAACGTAATTGTATGGTGTGGCAGTGATATTGATGTGCCTTTTTTTTTTTTTTTTGTTGTTGCTTATGTACTTATTTACACAAATTTCTTATTACATTCTGTGAACAAATTTATAATTTTGTTGTTGTTATTGGATGAGCATTGGTGCTAAATGTCTAGCTGAACAAATTAATATTTTTCTTAATATCAGCAAATATTTCAGTTATGTGTTCATTTGGCAGCATTTACTGCAAACCAGTTTTAATGTTGCTTCTACTTAACCAGAAACATTAACATCGAAGTTGAGCCAAAGTATGTTTTGCCAAGAAGAAGCTAATGTGTGCTATTTTTTATGAGATTCTGGCCATGTCTAACCATATGCTTTTGCAGTGCCTTTCTTATTTTTTTGTCTGCCATGGTCCATATGATTTGTTTTTAGGATTACAGTATTTTTAAATTGTTAAACTTGTACTCATCTTCAAACATGTCTTTTCACAACAGCAATATGGTAAAACTAGATATTACGGTCCAGATTGGCGAGTTTTAAAAAAATTGCCAAGTCGCCAAATCGATTGTTTTCGTGTGTTTTAGAAAATCGCTAACTCATCATATCGCCGGTTACAAATTTGAATTAATTCTGTAAACATGCAAAAATATATCTAAAACAGGACTTCAAGAAAAACAATGAAAAATCACCGACTGCTTGGTGCGTTTTTAAGAATTACACATCCTCGGTATCCATGTACACATCGACCAATTTTTTACTTGAAGAAACATCTTAGAATTGCACAACTGCAGAGTCGTAGGCGAGAAGTTGAGTATGCAGCTGAAATCATAGAATGAATGTCAGTTTGTGTTTGCTTCACTGTGTTTCAACAGTTCTTGTGTTAAGTTGGCATTAAGGTAAAAAATTACAAGAAGAAAGGTTCAATGTAACCTTTGTATGTATTTATGGGATTTTGTCTTTGTAAGTAAGACAATGATTACCACATCAACAAATACATTTTAAACTATAGGAAAGCTCGTTCTAATAATGTATTGAAAAAAGTGGAAAATGAGGGAAATATTTTTAATAAATTTCAGCACTGTAAAGTGGGGGGAATATAGTAATCCATCATCATTGGCAGGTCTTCGATAAAGCAACATGCATCATAATAATCATCTTTATGACTAAAGGTAAGAATCAGCCACAGTGCAAAAAAAAAAAAAAAAAGTCCCTATTCTGTTTTGACATTCAAAGTTAAAATATGCATCAGATGATTGTATAGTTCATTAATGCCATATATTTTGTTAATTTCACAAAACTGGATCAAATTATTTCGTAACAGTAGTATATAAATTTCATAAAGTTGCCAGCTGGAATGTCCTCTGGAGCAGGATTTTTAATTTTCTTTTCTGTTTCAAGGGCAAACTTGCTAGCAAATTCCAATCTGTGTAATTATGTCATATATTAACCCATTAAATGCTGTGGTGCTCATTTGGTTATCATAAACAGTCAAAAGTCTTTAATTTGGACTCTTCGGCGATTTCGGATTATCGGTTTTTTTGTATTATAGCTCATCAGTTTAAATCTTTTAAGATGGCATGCAGAAATTATAAAATTAAAAATATGAAATAAAGAGCAATTATGATCTAAAGGGTATCAAAATTTACAAAAAAAAAGTTTAATATTTATTTGTTTACTTTAATAAACTTTTCTTTCAACGTGCGCATGTGTAAAGCATACATTACGCATAGTTGAAATTAGAAAATTGCAACCAGAAAACTATTTCATGTGTATTCGTGATATTTATAATGATGAATTTGATTTAAATCATATCAAAGACGGAGTACATCGAGATGAAATACTGCATTTAGTGAGGAATTATAAGCCAAATAAAATGAAAACATCTGCCCTGAAGATGAGGATAGTGCTGACAGATCAACTTCCAGTTCATTGTGCGCTGCAACGTACCCCCTCCTCTCCCGCAGAGCAGCGCGAAATTGATAAACAGATTTCGGAATGGTTAGAGAAACAAATCACCTCTCTGTCACTTTCTTCATGCCTTTAACCATTTTTTGCAGCAATTCCACTTTTTGTTTCATGGACATCAAAACATGCTTTCGCTTGTAAATCCTTTGATATCTCCAGAATCGGAAACTCTTTTTGACATAATCGAAAGTTCAAGCTTACTTTTTATAAAATTGCTCTAACAGTCTGCAAAAAATAATAAGCCGGATCCAATTAGAAGAATTAAGGAACAACGCGATCTGCAACATTAACTGAAATAGATAATTTTAGCTTAGCTTATACCGTCCATTATACATTAAACGCATATGCGCATGCGTTTAAGCATGTGCAGAAAGTTTGTAGCTTTGAGGTCCGGATTATAGATCATTCCAGATTAAAGACTTTTGACTGTACTTTAAGCCACCTAGTAACACCATCTAGCTATCTCGGAGGGAAAAAAAGGCAACATTCAACTCATCCACTGAATGTCATTTGTAGAAAACCTAAAGTGATCACTACCTATACGCTCTTATGCTGAGCTCATGTTCATTTCCACATTCCACTCTCCTCTTATCACAAAAGTGAAACATGTGTTTTGAAAACGGATTAGACATAGTGGATTGAGGCTAATTTTGGTCATTGTGATTTTACTATATTATTAGTGAGTGTTGATTAAAGCGGTTATTTACTTCTATCAACAGTCCCTGCTAGACGGGACTTTCCTGAGAAACAAGTTTTTGGTATCACTGGTTTAAATGGGAGGATTCTTAGAAAAAAAAGAATCCCACCTAGCTACAGAAACAATGTAGCGGCTATGTGATATTTCTTCAAACCTCGCCAAAAATGTTTCAGCTGAAACTCTGTCCGGGGTAGAAATGAACCAATCAGATGAAAGTTCTGCTTCTGAAGGATCACGTGGTCCCAATCTGAGCGATAACGGGTTTCCTGGAAATGTGCGGGTTCTGAGAATTGCCCCTTTCGTCATCCAGTTCGGCATAGCCGAAAGATAATGTAATTTTAAAAATTAGATAATGCTTTTTTTTTTTTTTTTTTTTTTTTTGGTCAGTGTAATTTGTATAGATGATGGACACAAATTCATAAAGCCGCATTTGGAGATTACAGTTGATACTGAGTAGAATTTTAACAAGCATTTTATGATTGCATTGTACAAGAAAAGGCTTGAGAAAAGCTTTGAAAGAATTTAAAGATAATATGGGATTCCCAGAACCTCTGTAATTCTGCCTTTGAAGATGATGGCAATGATTTTATATACGTGGAGCTTCCTCCACAGCAGGTTGATGGAGTTTTCTGATGATGGACTAGAGGCAGAATGAGGCATTGCTAGGAGTGACAAGTGTTATTTAAGATTCTGTGCTTAGCAATGAATCATTACGGGCATTTCAATAGAGATTAAAAATTGTCTTCAGTTAGTCATTTATCTTCAGTAACATACGAGAGGATGCTGAGCAGGCACTGGAAGCTGTAGACACACTAATGTTTGTGAAAAATGCAACACCATGAAGGAATTGTCGGAAATGAATGAAATTTATTCCGCATATTACCGATAGTGATACAAGTAAACGATCACATTTACAAACAAAAAAAAAAAAAAAAAAAAAACGAAAGTTGGAAAATCAGTACTTTGGGTTTCTGTCATGCTGAGCGAGAGCCTGTACACAT